CTGTTGTTTAAGAAATACGATTGTATAACTTGGATTGGTAATCTGTTAGCTAAGTGGATAGTCTTTATCCATTGTTTAGAGATGATAATACGAGTACGTCTAGGTTGATGTAATATCGCGAGCAAGCACGATCAGTGTTGGAAGTCAGAAATATTTATTTGATACAAGCTGGAAGCACGAATCTAAAGCTAGATATCTGGAATTTAAAATTCCAAAAGAAAAGTTTTAACCGAAGGATTAGTAATTTGAGCTCTGTTGGATTATTGACATTGGGGAAATGTGGTTGAAGTCTTCTTCAAGATAAAGGAGACATGGAAGCTACGTTCCAACTACTTGGTTTAATATACCTAATTAAATTTTATTAAAAATGTTAAATCTCAATAATTGTTATGTAAGTCGTCTTTCACATTCACTTTCACATTAACACACGTTGGCAACATAAAATACTACTTTATATAAAACAAAACATAAAATAATATGACTTGACCCATAGCTTTGCTTGACTAATACATTTGTGACCCCTTTCTCAGTATATAGTAGTATAAAATTGTAAATATCTAGTAACTGAATGGCGTATAACAAGCACAAAATACATGTGGGCAACGAGTTTCACAGATCAGATCAAAGTCACATGGGTCAGTATATAAATAGAATTATTTTGTGGATAAATAAGTTTAACATTAATTATTCACCCGCAGAAAAAGTTAAAAATACTTTCAGTCTACGTTCAAGATGCATGAACCTTGAAAGAGTTTCTTATTGTAAAATTATATAAGCATTGATTGTCATTTTAATTAATAGTTAAAAAAACAATTCATTCTTTAACAGTAGTTGTGATTAATTGAACACTCTCATGAATTGGTGTTAATTCATTACCTGTAATTTTCATAGATGAATGCTACTACAATCTTATAAAGATTATTTTTTCTTTTTGGATCGTACAAACTTGATAATACCAAACTGTATGATACCATGAAATAAGTTGGGAAATCTGTTGTTTATTGATATTATGAAGTTTGGTAATACATGCATGAGTAGAGAGATTCCTAATTATAGTAAGAAAACGAGATATAACTAAATCTATTACATCTTTATTAGAGTGGAATACATATCTCGCCCACTCTATTACTTAAGAAATATAACTGTATATTCCACGAATTTACATATCTGTAAGATTAGTCGAATTTACATATCCGAAAAATTAGTCGAGTTTGTCCGGATCACCCGCAAAACATAAAAAAAAACTCTGAACAAATTCTGGATTAAAGTACA